AGGTGTCTCCAAGGAAATCTGTGGTACAGTCCGCCTGCCAGTATGAGGTCACGTCTCGCGTCAGTGACTTTCAAAATGGCGAACAAAGTGTTCATCGAAGAGACAGATAAAAATTTCGATTTTACCACGGAAATACCGTTCCGATTTCTTTGATTTGGAGGTTTTAAGGTTTCTCTTGTCACAGAAAACTAGATTTAAGTACTTTTTTGGAATGAAATGTCCAGTGGTGTAATGAATTTTAAAGATTCCTTTCTATCGTCGAGCAAATTTTACGGGCAATCATACCGACCGGTCACACTTTTGAGGGCCAGTGTACAGCAGGATTGAGGAGTTTAGACACAGCAATAGGAGGTTCATCAAAGGATGTATTATAGAATAAAGAAGAAAAGGCCAAAAGGAAAAATTGTGTTAAAAAAAAAACAAACAGGGAAAAAAACGGTACAAGGAAACAGAAAGCAGCGTCGCCGGGAGTCGAACCCGGTTTATCTGCACGTGCAAGAAACTCCTTGACCACTGCACCACAGTGACACACATGATTTGAAAAAAATAATTTTGTCATATCAAAACAATTTTTCTATGCCACAGACGTTGTCTGAAGCTGGTGGAGCTGTATTTATCATGAATTCAAATATACATTTGAGGAAAACTAGCTTAAGCGTGTATCTCAAAGCTATTTCGCATTATTTCCGGTTCAACGGGCCGACTCGATGTAGATTATCGATCGAACTAGCTTTACTGAATTTGGTGGAGAATTAGGAGATTCGGGGTTGGAAGCTGAAGAATGAGTAATGAATAACGGGGTTTAAAAGAAAATGAATAATGAATATTTGGAGTGAGAAAATCAGGAATTATGATTAACACCATCTAGCCTCGGAATAAAGAATAACTCATAACTGCTAAATGATCCCATAGAAACGAATGACGAAAGAAACAATTTCAACTTTTCTGCCCATCGTAAACATTGGAATCCGCCCGAAACCAGTGAAATCCGAAGCGGCAAACCCCGAAATAAAACTCCTGAAAGTCAGCGTTCTTTTCCTACAGCCAATCCGATAACACGTAATTTACAGCCTGCAAAGTTGCATGTCAATCCCTGAGATGTTTGACCTTTGCCGGGTTCCTTTTTAGTTCGATGTGTCGTGTGTCTACGCCCACAGCGTATTTCGTATAATTGGGTCGCTTTTCTAAAATCTTCTTTTCATTCGATTTTGAACAATGAGAAAAAGAAGTCAGAGAAGAAGAGAAATCGTCATCGACGGTAGGTCTATTTGTCATTCTTGACAATGTTTCCAGCTCGCCTTCATGGTCACCTGAAAAGTGACGTTTAGTGCACAATCGGAGCAGGTCAGTACAAAGGTTCCGTTCTTTTAATCAGCTTATTGGTACTTACTTGAAAGATTTTATACTCGATGATATTCAACCAATCAATTTCTTACCGTCTCGTCTTCGCCAATAGACAGTAGGTCCTAAAATCCGATAGCCTCCTACGCAGACGTTCTTAGGCAAGAACGCGTGACGACGAACCCCTAAGAACTTCTGCGGGGGAGGCTAAAAATCCGACCGAGTGAGTAACCTGGTAGGTGGTGCAGTATTGCAGGTCCCGTGCAAACAAGTAGCCTATCCTGCCCGGCTTACCTGAACCCACAAGTCGATTGCGTACGACTACGTTTGTGAAAAGTGTTCGTTTCAGCTGTAGTTTGTTTATTAGTTATTACAATGTATTTTAGTCATTAGTTATTATGTTAGTCATTAAACTGCTGTTGTTTGGTCCTTCACGTTCTAGTAAATGCATAGACAGTCTATTGATCCAAAAGGATAACATTATTTTGACCACACTTATAGAGAAAAATAGAATGGTACTTGCTAAAGATAAGGTTGAATGTAAGCTTATACTGAAATGTAAACTTTTGATAACCAATGTATAGAATTACACTGTAGAAAATTTCGGAAAGGAGAACTGATACAAAAACCATAAAATGAATAGTGAATATCATGGAAAAATTTGAAATGAATAATGAATAATTTGGAGAAAAAAAGCAAAGAATAACGAATAATCGTGATCCAATTATTCAGCTTCCACCCCCGATCAGAATTTGAGCTATTCAGAAAAATGCAAACACAGGATTTGGTTATGGTAACATGATGTCAGTTTCTTTTTAAAAAATCGATGTGCCATTTGCTTTATTATCCTTTATTAATGTTAACCGGGCCTATCCAGAGTACCTGATCACGTAGAAGATTGTTAAACGCTCCAACGTTGACGCATCTCTATAAATTCCTTGTACATCACTACCAACTAAGAATCTGAATGGCCGACGGATTGCTGTAAAAATCTACATGACCTCATAAGCGTCATAACGCTGTTTAAATTGCAGCGTCAACAGATCACTAAAGGGATTGACAACCACTCGGAGCAACTAGAAACGCGATGAGAGGGAAGGGACAGGAAATAGGACGTAGAAATTCCAAGAAAGCCTGTTCCCAAGAAAGAATGTTAAACTTATAACGAAGCTGAGATTCAACTACAACTGGCTAATATACTTCCGAGCTAATTATAGCTATTAAAGAAAAAACACGACATAAGATGGCAGCCAATTATTCATGAACTTTATGTTACACTTGTATATATTATCGCACAAACGTTTTATATAATCTTGGAATTTAATATAGTAAGTATAGTAATCAGTTAATGCAAAACAAAAAAAAAGGTTATTCAACCGCGTCCTGACAAAGAAGAAGTTTTTACCTGTGGACAGATCCTTGTTAGACTGAAAACAGCCATCTCTCCTCGCTCCTTGTCTCTAGAGACATTTCGCCAGGAGGGACGTGAAAACGGTCCCTAGTGACGTGGAGCGAAGAACGACCGCTGTTTTCGCAGGCGAAATCCTAATCTTTGTAGACTGTATAGTACCACAAACCGTACCTTCAGCAGGTTATTCTCATCAAAAATAAATTTTAAGACTAAAATATTACCTAAACCTCCGATATCACTAAATAAGTTTACATGGAGGTGAAAGTGTCAAGTGTCTAAGTTGGAAATTGATTTTCTTTCTGTGTTATTTTACCAGTTTGGCCTTGACTGCTGGGGATTTCTTGCTTATGCCGTTAATTTTCAAATATATAGCAACAGTGACACCTGTCACCTCTTATTTAGACAATCTACTTTTCCAAAGTTAACGCTGTTCCTTTACCGTAGTTTGTTTATCACTTATCTGTACTTTTGCTTTAATTGAACCTTTAGGTCTGTAAATATATCAATTATTTGAACTCTATGTTATAGACCTGCTTTTTTTATACCAATATCGAAATGTAAGAGCAAAGTTTGTGTGTGTGGTTGTTTGTTTGAAAGTAGATTTAGTTCATGTATTGTTAATATCAAGGACATTCAACTCGGACTACTTTTTGCGTGCGACCTACATGAAAGCTATCAGCGTTTAAATCAAACCTTCGACACCTGCATGCTAGAGCAAGGTTCTTTTCTTGCTGCTTGTTATATAAGCTGACCACGTCAGCGACCTCACGAAAGAGCTCACGAGTACCGCTGGTAACATGCCGCAGGCACCGGCAACATCCTTACTAGCGTTGGATAGTTACCTTGCGGTCGCATACTTGCAAGCATATCGCATGCTACAAGACTGTCGGTTCCAAGAAAACGTAACCTGCAAAATGCCGACAATTGCCACAACCTTGGACAGGTTCTTATTTATTGTTGACTTCTCTTATTTCCTGTAATTTTTTCTTCAACTAACCATCAATGCTCTTTTTAAAACAAACAAATGCAACGCTTATTAAATTTTTCGACTTTCCTTTGCGACGCTCATGTCAGTTTTTCTTATTCGCCAAATAACACGATTCTACGTGTTCTTTCTTTTCTCTCTTACAGTTAAAAAAAACTTTATTTTCCTATCTACTCAACTATATCAGCATTTCCCTGCTAGCAGAGGCCACTTTTCCGTATATGTTTTTTGTGTTGTTTATCAGCATTAACAAATTGATTATCAGCATAGTTGCTGGGGAAGAGGGGGCACCTTAATATCTTGGGATACGTTCTTGGCGTTTAAAAGTGATTTTGAAAGAACTTGAAGTTGCCATTTTTTTTCGGTAGTTATTAGCCACTGAATATATGTACAGCTTGTGACAATTTTAAGCATTTGCAGGCTACATGCATAAAATATGTAAGTTCAGTTCAGTTCAAGTTATAACGTTCAGCCACTGAGCTAGATTAATCAAGAGGGTTAATTAGTACCTGAGAAACAATATTTTTAAGGTAGCTGTTCAGAAGGTGTTAAATATTCACACAGTGCTAGTCGAAAACATAAACACAGTCTTTGTTGGTATCCGTAACAAAACAATGTCCAGTATCAGACACGGCACAATCAGCAAGATGAGTATTATGGTCAAAAAAACTCCAGGCTAACTTAGCGACATATTTTCCGTCAAGAGTCAACAGTTGCAGTCTATTGTTATCCCGATCACAAACGATCAAACGGTTAAACCTGTCAATAGCGAGACCGGTGGGACACGAGAACTGCCCGTCACCAGATCCCTTACTGCCAATGTCATATAGATACTCCCTACGTTGTTAAATACCATAACACGGTTAGCTACTGGATAAGAGACAAAAATTTTTTTCTGCTGATAAACAGCACAACATGGATCCTCATCACAACCAGGAGCACTGAACGACTGAAGTAAATCTTCCCCGTCAGGGCTGAGAACTTTGATTGTTTTGTCAGCCACGTTGCATGTGATTATGCGACCATCACTCCCAACAGATATGTACCACGGTGTCTTCACCTGTTCGTCGCTGATGTGTCCAATGAAGTGACTACCCTCAGTGTACAAGGTGAGTTTATTGTCGTCACTCTCGACATTGCTAAGGAGGTCACCAGACTCGGTAAAAGCCACCGAAGACGTTTCAGACTCCAGTGCAATTTCTCTCAGGAAATTCCCATCAAAGTCAAACATCTGAACTCTCTCATTGTTTGAATCAGCAACAGCAAGCGTCCTGCTTTTATGATTCACAGCAATACCCAAAGGTTGGTCAAACTGTCCTTGCTTTTTGCCTTTTGATCCAAATTGAAACGCAAATTGATACTGATGCGAACTGATCACCTGTACAAGCCAGGGACTACCAGTCAGCGGCTGTCCATTAACTTGGATCTCTACTCTATGTTGTCCAACACACTGTGGTGTGTATGGTACTGTGTACTTGCCGTCTTTGGTGTCTTTTATCTCTGTTTCCAGTTGATCACCTGCTGGAGTTATAATGTTGACTTTTACTTGATCATCTTCATGATAACGCTGCTTTCCACTTGAATCTCTAGTTACAATGATGAAATTTGCCACGGTTTTTTCTCTTACAAATTCTTGATTGTCCACTTCCGCGAAGGAAAGTAAAGGATCTGTATTACTAACCACAATTCGATCAAAACCTGGATTCAGTTGATTTTCGATACTGTAATTCACGTGTGGTGGGTTATAAATGTCAGGTTTTGTTACGTTCAAAAGTTTTTCACAGCGTCCAATAATGATCTGATTTGATTGAAGAATCTCGGTGCTGACGTTTCTTTCTAGTGCGCTTTCCGTGACCTCGCTCAATGCAGCTTTGTAGTTGAGTCAAAACCAACTCAAAGTTTTCTAGTTGTGTCGCGTGATGTTTTTGTTGCGCCTCATAAATTTCAGCAAATTTGGCTTTCATGACCCTCTCATGTTCCCGTAATTCATGGATACGTTCCTCCACGGTATCTGCCATCTTCTTTTCTGCTGACAAAATCTCATTTTTGGTTTTGTCCATTAGCTCCGTTTGTTTCCTTATTTTGCTCTCGTAAATTACAGTTTCCGCTTTNGCAAATTTGGCTTTCATGACCCTCTCATGTTCCCGTAATTCATGGATACGTTCCTCCACGGTATCTGCCATCTTCTTTTCTGCTGACAAAATCTCATTTTTGGTTTTGTCCATTAGCTCCGTTTGTTTCCTTATTTTGCTCTCGTAAATTACAGTTTCCGCTTTCACTTTCTCCAAAGCGTCCTTCATTTGCATCTTCTGTACTTGTGCGGCTTTCTGAGTGTCTGTTATGGTGTGTCGATTATGGCTAACTACACTACACTTGTGGCAAATAAGAACTTTACATTCTTCGCAATAAAATTCCAGCGGTTGATTTTCGTGATATTGCTGCGAACACATGACGGGTCTGTGGATCAACTCTTGAACATCTTGCACTTGCAATTTCTCTATCACAACATTGCGATGACCTCTTGTGGTCCTCAGTCGCTGATGAGCTTCAAAACAAGCAGCACAGACGAATATTTGACAGACGAAACAGTAAGAGGAAGCGGTGTTGTTCTCATCACAACTGCTGCATTTCTGGGCCTGTGTGCCGCCATCTTTTAGAGCGAGAACATCCACCAGTCGGTTGAGATGATAAGATGTGGGAAAGTTCTTGAACGAGTCTCCTTCAGGAATTTGAAAAGATGTCTGACAAACCGGACATTTGATTGTCGCTTGTAGCTGTCTTCTCGCAAAATTTGCGTGTTTGTCAAGGCACTCGAGGCAGAATGAGTGAATACATGACAAAGTCTTGCGATTATTGACTGTCTCCAAACACAGTGGGCATTCAGCTTCTTTCTTAAGATTCGCGAAAAGTTATTGAACATCCATAGTGTAGATGATGGCTTTATATCCTGTGATTTCGGTGCTGCTTTCGTAGTAACCTGAGACCAGGCGTTTTTTTTTTTTTCTTCGCTTCTTTGTCTCTTTGGCTTGAGAGGGAAAAAATAACACCTGATACATTCATTTGATGTATCGGTCAAAATCGAAGCTTCAACATCCCCCCCGGCCAACCCCCCAGGCATTTGACTTTTTTCAAATTCCCCCCTAGCCGGGCCAAAATGCCGTTCAAATGCCCCACACTAGGGTCTATTCAGGTGATCAAATGCCCCCACCCCGGGGACATTTCACAGGCACATAAATGACAGAAGGACGGCAGAAACGCCTTCAGTTGTCGAACAAAATCTTTATAAATACAGCAAAGAATTCGCATTCAATATAACAAAAACTGAGAAGCACTGCTAGCGTACTTACTACGAACAAAAGTCTCGTGTAAAGCAGCAGAAATCGTTGCTACAAGGTCACTGAAGGCTCAGAGTTTCTTCGTGTGTCATGCAACATACAAAGTGTTCTTTGAAAAAATCCCACCTATTGAGATTACTACATCATGACAAATTCATGGACGTGCATCATCGCTCACCTCATTAATTTTACATACATGCGTCAGGTCAAAGTAATTGACCTCTGTTGAGCTTTTTATTGTTGTATTGAATCGCCGGTAATAGGTATTGTAATTCATTATAAACACAACTTAATACATTCATATATTCAAAGCCTGGATCCATTATTAAAAATATTAAAATTTAAATACCTTCAAATACGGCACAAACCTTGTAACCAGTTGGCAACAAAGGCACAATTTTTTCCACGAAAATCCTCTAACACCGTGTCCCCCATGACAGCTTGCCACGTCAGAGATTTCACATGAAATCGAGGGTGCAGTTCAAATTCCCCACCTCTAACGCATGGAGATCAAATTCCCCACCCCCTGGAAGACTCTGGTAATCAAATTCCCTCCTCCCCGGGACGGCAAAGGTGTCAAATGCCCGGGGTATGCCCAGGCGGGATGTTGAAGCTTCGATTTGACCGATACATAACAAGCCATTAACCGCACCCTAATTTACATAATCTAACTTCTGCTTGACCTGTCATGTTATTAGCCAAGAAGCGTTTACCGTACGGGAATCAAATTTTTGCGCAAATAATGTCTCTTTTGAAATCAATTTAGGGAAAAGAAAATTTTTAAGTACGTCCATGTTCAGATAGCGCTTCCTAAAAAATATTTTAAATGTGTTGTTTTTGTGATGAAATACTGCTAGCTGGAGCTGCCGTACCTTTATTTAACAGCTACAAATAATAAGGAATTTACTGGTTAAAGCTCCTTGACTTCGTTCTGTGCCGAAAGCAGTGAACAAAAAAAAATAGCCTCAAGCACCATATTTTACGAACTGAAAGGTGTTGTGAAAGCGAAGAACGCTCAGAATAAACTGTGGACATAGCATCTCTTCTGATAAAGCACAATACTGATGTCAATGCTACTGATCGCTGGTTGTTTACCCCTCTACATGAAGCTTCCCAAAAAAGGAGAACACAGCTTTGTGCTCTTTTGGTAAGTGACATACTTTATAAAGTTGCATTTTCATGGGTTTCTATCGGTATTGATTACAATAAATAAAGGCTACACATAAAAGGTGCCTTACCCTGCGAGCAGAGTTTCTCTCTTGCATGGCTTCAGTGTTAACGAAGTCTTTCGCTTCGCTTGTCACTTGCGTAGTTAGTTTCTTTTATACGCCCCAGGGCGTAAAAATAAAAAAACTACGCGACATAAAAGCCCACGCGAACGACATCGTAAACCCTAAAAGCCATGCAAGAGAGAAACGTCTGCTCGCAAGGTAAAGATGCCTTTAAAATACCAGAAAAATGTTTTCCATACAAAATTCAGTGTTTTCAGCGGGTTGAATTTTTGTGTTAAAAATGATAATTAGAAATGATTGTTCATACCATAACATTGAATTTTGTTGTCTACAGTAGGTAGGGGTCATAATCATTTCCTTCGTATTTGAGCCTGATATTTTTGGTATGCCTACAGTACGCAGTTATTATGGGGCTGACAGAATATTTTGGTTGCTTTAACAATTTGCAGCTGGCCCATGGCGCAGACCCCACAATGAAGAATCAGGAAGGCCAGACAGCTTTAGATCTTGCAACGGTAAAATCTTAAACCTTGCTAATGGAAAGCCATAGGCCGTTATGCGTACATATTATGCTCTTCAATGAGACAGATCGTGAAANGATCGCTGGTTGTTTACCCCTCTACATGAAGCTTCCCAAAAAAGGAGAACACAGCTTTGTGCTCTTTTGGTAAGTGACATACTTTATAAAGTTGCATTTTCATGGGTTTCTATCGGTATTGATTACAATAAATAAAGGCTACACATAAAAGGTGCCTTACCCTGCGAGCAGAGTTTCTCTCTTGCATGGCTTCAGTGTTAACGAAGTCTTTCGCTTCGCTTGTCACTTGCGTAGTTAGTTTCTTTTATACGCCCCAGGGCGTAAAAATAAAAAAACTACGCGACATAAAAGCCCACGCGAACGACATCGTAAACCCTAAAAGCCATGCAAGAGAGAAACGTCTGCTCGCAAGGTAAAGATGCCTTTAAAATACCAGAAAAATGTTTTCCATACAAAATTCAGTGTTTTCAGCGGGTTGAATTTTTGTGTTAAAAATGATAATTAGAAATGATTGTTCATACCATAACATTGAATTTTGTTGTCTACAGTAGGTAGGGGTCATAATCATTTCCTTCGTATTTGAGCCTGATATTTTTGGTATGCCTACAGTACGCAGTTATTATGGGGCTGACAGAATATTTTGGTTGCTTTAACAATTTGCAGCTGGCCCATGGCGCAGACCCCACAATGAAGAATCAGGAAGGCCAGACAGCTTTAGATCTTGCAACGGTAAAATCTTAAACCTTGCTAATGGAAAGCCATAGGCCGTTATGCGTACATATTATGCTCTTCAATGAGACAGATCGTGAAAGAAGCAGTTTTGTAGAGTAACATCATATGGCCTATGTTAAGAAAAGAAAACATACACTCGAAAGACCAAAGAGGACTATATGATAGAGATCAATGTATAAAAGAAATTGTTTGATCTAGTGAATTTTGCGGTGAATTCAGTGGACTCTGTCATTAGAGACCTTTAGATTCTAAGACGAGGACGATTTTCTTAATACTAAGTAGTGTGCGCGCGTGAGGCAACGTCAATTCGGCGGGTAAAGGTGTTAGCCATCGTCATTCTACTACGACTTTTAGCGACAATGTCGTAGTGGCGGAAGCAAGTTGTCAAATGATCTCAAATGTTAGACGTTTTATCATTTTGCGATCGGGGGGGCGGGTGTAACCTGCTCCAATAAGAAAAGCAGTACAAATATTTCTGGTGAAGAAAGTACAGTGAAGCATTCAATTCCAGGATATCTATTTTTTGACAATACACAAAAAAACTTAAAATCAAACATCTCTGATTCCAGCACTGACATCAGGTATACTGTTGTGTAAACATGTACATGTGACTTTGATTGACAGGCTGAAGATGTGAAATGCCTACTGAGTGTTGCCATGATGGCATACGTTGCTCCCGCGACTCCCAATGTGACGTCACCACATGCTACTCCAAACAGTAGTAATAGTTCACCACTCTCTCCAGCTAATGCCAGCCTGCTGGCCAACAGCCCTGCAGGCTCAGGCGATGGAGCTGTCAATAAGAGGTCTATATCAGAGGCGCAAGGTGCTGGCGACACGAGAATTATCCTTCCAGGTATTTACTGGGATTGAGTCACGGTGCTCAGCCTTACGAAATAGGTGGACTAAGAGTCCTCAGTTTGCACCTTCATACTTTTAAACATGCCCGGCAGAATTAATTCTTTGTAACTGCAATCCTGGACAAAAGTACTTATGACAGTGAGGCAATATTCGTAATTATCCATGGTTGGGCATGTGTAATAAAAAAGACCCCCACAGATGCAAATTTGTCGCAAGGCTTTTGGTCGATGATTGAAGTTGAGGATGATTCCCTGTCTAACTATTGCTATGAAATATATTTTTAGGTCACCCTGGCTTGGATCTTGATGTAGGAGAATTCCTTGACAGCCTTCAGCTGAATAACGTCAATGATATATTTGAAAAAGAACAGGTTAGTATAGCATTTGGGGGCTAGAAAATACAGTCTTTAAAAGGCCTAAATATATTAGACGAGGTTGTTCACTTTGCCGAGATCTCGGCATGTGAAATATGAACAGTAAGAATTTGTTGGTGATAAAGAATATCTCTCTGTAATATCATGTCCTAACAGCTGNAACAGCCCTGCAGGCTCAGGCGATGGAGCTGTCAATAAGAGGTCTATATCAGAGGCGCAAGGTGCTGGCGACACGAGAATTATCCTTCCAGGTATTTACTGGGATTGAGTCACGGTGCTCAGCCTTACGAAATAGGTGGACTAAGAGTCCTCAGTTTGCACCTTCATACTTTTAAACATGCCCGGCAGAATTAATTCTTTGTAACTGCAATCCTGGACAAAAGTACTTATGACAGTGAGGCAATATTCGTAATTATCCATGGTTGGGCATGTGTAATAAAAAAGACCCCCACAGATGCAAATTTGTCGCAAGGCTTTTGGTCGATGATTGAAGTTGAGGATGATTCCCTGTCTAACTATTGCTATGAAATATATTTTTAGGTCACCCTGGCTTGGATCTTGATGTAGGAGAATTCCTTGACAGCCTTCAGCTGAATAACGTCAATGATATATTTGAAAAAGAACAGGTTAGTATAGCATTTGGGGGCTAGAAAATACAGTCTTTAAAAGGCCTAAATATATTAGACGAGGTTGTTCACTTTGCCGAGATCTCGGCATGTGAAATATGAACAGTAAGAATTTGTTGGTGATAAAGAATATCTCTCTGTAATATCATGTCCTAACAGCTGAATCTTCATTCAACAAAAATTAACTTTGTGCTTAGATGACAACCGAGCCAGGCCGGTTAGCCGGGATCCTGGTAATCACTCTCGTCTGGACACCCCCACCGAACCAAACAAGCAACGGGACAGCGGGTAACACACAGCTCATGCGCAATGTTTCCAGTCTCTTGGTAATCATTGCGCCTCCTGGGTGGCTCGCGAACTCGGCCCATATTATGAACCCTTCAGAAAGTGCCGCGTACAATTTGTTTCGGACGCATTTGCTTTTGTTTCTGATTGTCAGTGTGTTTTGTTACCCAGATCTCCAGGGATGTGCTTGTCGACATAAGCCATGAGGAACTTAAAGAGATTGGAATCCACGCGTTTGGTCACAGACACAAAATCCTCAAGGCAGTTAAAGAAAAACTTTCTGGCTTACCAGAGCTGGGTAAGTGAATTTTGTAAACGAACTTATAGAGGTTGTTGGATAAAAAACTAGAAGCTGAATTAAAGAGGTTTTATTCCTTTTTAAATCCACAAATTAAAACCAGCCAAAATTGTCTTAAACGGACTTGCGTGGACGTATTCTGTTTCTGTAATGTTCATCGTTGTTGTTATCTTTTGTTTTGTTCTGTTTCAGGTGGCGGGCCTTTCACCTATTCAAGCCAACAAGAAACAGTTGTTCATGACTTACCTACGGACGACAAAGACTACATTTCTGTTGCAGAGGAGGTGAGCTAATTTCTTCTTAATCAATCTGTCTCCTAAAAATAACTGCCATTTGTTTTAACCTCCTGAACCGATTCGTGGAAATATAGCTTACACTGCATCTCCTAGTAATTGTGTGGGGGAGGGGTTAGGTTGGGTTTTTCACCCCCTCCCCCTCATGTTTTTGTGACCGTCTGCGACGCTGGCTAGAATTCCGCAGACTTCTAATGTACTTCGTGTGGCGCTTAAGCTAATTAATCTCCTCCAAAATGCAAAACTGTAGAAATGTCTACTTGTGAACTTATAATATTTACGTATATTGTATTCAGATGCAGAGTACTGTTGTGAAACACAAAAATGATGGCGGCCAATCCGGTGGAGTCTTTGATTCCTACAGAATTGTCAGGGTTAGTAGTTTTATACATAGTTTACAGCTTTATAGTTCTGATTCGTTGAACTAAACTCTCCTAAAACAAATAATAGTCATCAGATGTTCACGCCCTCGATTTTTATCGCATCATTTATCAGACGAACGGGCGAAGCAGACGCGAATGTCAATACAGACCTCGAAAGGGTGGGGCGCGGAATCATTCGCGCGCCTTCTACACCCAAATCTTCTTTTTAAATAGAGGATGTAAGTTGAGAGGATTTAAAACCAGAGTTTAGCCTATCTTGTTCAACTTTTTGTCGTTTTCCTTCACTGTCAGTGCACTTGAAAAGTGATTGGTTACAACATAAGATCATTATGTGTTCTATGGTTTATTTGGCTTTTGACCCTAATACAAACACTTAGTGACATAGTGGCTTGGATGTTACTAGAAAACAGCAAGTCCATTTTCTCCTTTCTTCAATCCCTGTTTCCTTCTGTTTTAGATTCAGCGGGTCATAAGCAAAAGACTTTGGGATAAATACGTGTACAGAAGAAGAGAGGTAAGAGCTTGTTTTTCATTGGAAACCTCTGATTATATCTGTTTCACTCGCATGTTTGAGTTTAAATCGATTGCTCGTCGCCGGGGTACTTTAATCTCCCTTGCACGTATTTACCTGCGCTTGTGGGTTATCTTCTGCCAAATAAACGAAGATAGACGCGATGTTTATCTCTCTATTTTCTCTTTGTAGGTTGCAGAGGCTAATCACAACCACAGTAATGAGAGAATGTTATTTCATGGTATGTGATCACTTTGCAGTAACTTTTTGATAACAGTCACTTTTTTCATTAAAGTTAAGAGTAAATCATCAGCAAACTATTCTTTCTTTTCTTTTAGGTTCAGCATTTATCAACGCTATTCTACAAAAGGGATTCGATGAACGTCATGCTTACATTGGAGGGATGTTCGGAGCAGGTGAAAACAACACGTTTATGGCATTAAGCATTTCAAACCTTCAGTGAGGCAGTCCTGAAGATAAATAAAAAGATAAAAGTATAAAACGTACCCAAAACTTGCTCTTTAGTTCTGCCGTACCCCCTTCTACTTCAGTCAATTTTTCTTGCAACTTGTCTTATGCGCCGCCGCTATAAAAGTTCCCCGAGAACGCGTAGCCTAATATATCACCCCCTAAAATAACCAAGTCTTAAAACTTTTGCGTTGGACGAAGCCTTGCGAAAAGTTGAGCTTTTTTTGTTTCTCCTTCATATGATGCTTGCTGTAACAAACCTTTTTCGAGACACGTTCATTCAGCGAGGTGTTAAAATGTGCCGTACAACCTTATCCATAAAAACTGCGAGACAAATTGAAGGGATTTAGAAGAACTAACGCTGTCATTTGTGTAGGTATTTACTTTGCGGAGAACTCTTCAAAGAGCAATCAGTATGTTTATGGTATTGGTGGTGGATCAGGCTGCGCTCTACACAAGGACAAGTCCTGTTACTTATGCGAAAGGTAACAGCTCAAGTTATTTAAAGGATATTTTTAATAGAGAAGTATAACCTGAACTTCAGAGGTATTTTGCGGAACGCAGTATTTTCCAGCTAAACCAACTGCGCAAAAGAGCGCCAAGCCTGCGGGAAAGCTCTCCATTAAAAATTCGCGCAAGCAACGAGCGAAAGGAGAATCTCCCCTCGCAGGCTCGTCCCGCTTGAAATGGAGAGGTTGTCTGCTGGCTGAAGGGTGCTCGATTTTCCCCTTTCCTCTGGCTATTGAGTTTCGAACCTTCCGCAACGTAGGCTACTGTCAGTGTCTAAAAGCATTGGCAGGTTTGGGAGACTTAAGATTTTGATCAAGGGGGCTGGGGTATTTAGCAGATTCTTTTCAATTCATTACTAGCTCCTTTTACGAGTCATCACTTTGATTATACCGAGATAACCAGGGCGAATTATGGTACTCGCTCACAACCAAAAAAGACACCTTGCATTAGATCACATTTCCTGAATTGTAAAATGAAAATATTTCATTATTCGCTTTACTCAAGGTTTTCCTTAATTAATTACAAAACTGATTGCGACGCTTAAGCCACACTTCTTTTGGCGCAGTTTATTAAGTAATTAATAATTAATAATTTATATGAATGCCACCGGCCTGATGTGAATTTGAATCCAATGGAAGTTTTCATTCTAGATCTTATCTGATCAGCGCGATGTTTTCTATCTGGCAGGCAACTTCTTCTATGTCGTGTGGCCCTTGGTAAGCCATTTTACCAGTTTTCAGCCGTCAAGATGGCGCACGCCCCTCCTGGTCATCATTCAGTTATAGGGCGTCCCAGTTCAGAA